GCTGAGCTACCTCGCCACGGGAGCACATGATCGCAGATCTTCTCACGAAGATCCTCCCTCGGCCCAAGACGGCTCAGTTCTGCACGATGCTGTTCGACCAGCGTCCTCTGCCAGGCTGCCAGCCACGGGCCCGTCCTCATTCGGGCCGGTCGCCACGTCCTTCGACTCCGCGTCAGGACCTCTGAGCGGCCGCGCACCACAGGACACGCCTTCACTCGGGCCAGCCTTCCACAACAGGCTGCGCACCACAGGCACCAACCATTTTCCTAAACGTGTTCCACAACACACGTCCTTACTCACATCTCACCTACATCTGCCCATGCCATTCCTACATGCATGACATCACCATCACCATCAATCACGTTTCAGAACATCAACGCAACAGAGAGGTAGGTCAATGCGGGGGAGTGTTGACAGGCAAGTCCTGTCTGCTGAGTCATCATTGACCTCCCTTCTTCACGACACCACAAATTTACATTCACCTCTCTTGTGTTCTGGAATGTTCACGTGATTTCCCTCCAACCTGTTGCACGTGCAGTGTTTAGCTTGTGTGGTTGCTCGATGTTACATGCTCTTGCATAACACACCACATAACCACACAACTCTCAACAAACACTGCCACGTCACCACTTTGCGTTGTCGACAATTCTTGCCTTCTGCTCTGTTTCTTTCTGTTGGAGTGTTCATTCATCCTACATCCTTGTTTGCTTCACAACTCAAGTAAACACACACAACTTCCTCTTGTCAAGACAATCGCACACACAACACGCAGAACACACAGCACACACAGCACACTGCACACACACACAAGTCTCCAACAACAGCACCGCCACCATGAACTTGCAACATCAGCAGACAGGACTTGCTTGTGAACAACACGACGCCGAGAAGAACATGCGGTTGACGGTTATTGTGCATGCCCCTTGGAAAGCGCATCTATTGACTTGGTCATTGTTTCCAAGCTCTTCAGCATCGCTGCGAGGACCTTGCTGTTATCGTCCTGTGCAGAAATCAGATGACCCAACGGATGCATGAAATGAGCACAGGCGAATAAAAACATGACAGCACACCGACAAACCGCGCTGAAGGTAACTGACTGTGCCTGCTTCTGTTTCTCGATTTGCACCCGTTGTTCCTCCAGCTCAAGTGCCCTAAACAACGCAACTATCGTTGTTGCATACTCATGGTGGTGCTGTTGTTGGAGACTTGTGTGTGTGCTGTGTGTGCTGTGCGTGCTGTGTGTGTTGTGTGTTGTGTGGGAGATTGGCTTGGCAAGAGAGAGTTGTGTGTTTACTTGAGTTGTGAAGCAAACATGAATGAACATGAACTGAGAGACGCTCTCACACATAGACAGAAAAAACTGGAGGAGAGAGAGAAGTGCCACGTGGCAGAACAACCAGAAACGCCCGTTTCTGGGCGCACGTGCACAGAAACGTTTACAGCAGAATTTGCTGACTCAGCAAGCATTGACACTGGAACCGTGATGTCAACAACAGCACCACCAGCATGAACTTGCAACAACTGCACGTGCAACAGGTTGGAGGGAAATCACGTGAACATTCCAGAACACAAGAGTGGTGAATGCAAAGTTGTGGTGTCGTGAAGAAGGGAGATCAATGATATGACTCAGCAGACAGGACTTCCCTGTCAACAATGAGCAGTACTCGCTGAAGGACTATCTTCCCGACTTCTGTGGTAAGTGCTGCGTTGCCTGTGCCGATAGCCGTTGTTGTTTCTCCGTTTGCGAGCGTGAGTGGGGTGTTGTCAGGTCTGACTTCATCCAGGTCCTCTCTGTTGCTTGTGATGTGTCTCGTTGCACCTGAGTCTACGAGCCACGCCTCTGTGTGTGGTTTGTGATGTCTCAGCGTGCACAGTTTGTCTATCCGTCTTCGCTGTCCTTGTTCGTCCCGTTTCTTCTTTCGGCAGTCTCGTTTGATGTGGCCTTTCTTCCCGCAATAGTAGCACTTGATGTAGCCCTTCTGCTTACGTTTCTCATACCGTGCTGTTGTTGCTTTTGCCAACCTCTCAGATCCCTCCTTGCGGCTGCTGGTGTTGCTGGTTCTCTGGCGCTCTTCTTCCCTCAATAGCGTGAAGTACAGGTCTGCTAGAGTGCGGTCTCTGTCTCCCTCCTTGAGTGTGAACGTTCCTGCTATGTACGCGTACTCCATGGGTAGCTTGCTGAGCGCGTGTTGAAGAACCGTCTTCTCTGTTGTCTTCCCTCCTGCTTTCGCCAACTCTCCGTAGTCTTTCAGCAGGTCGCCCATGCTTCTGTCGTAGCTTCTGGGTCTGCTGCTTCCCAGCATTCCTTGTATCTGAGGAGGTTCCTCATCTTTGTCGCCCAAAGATGATATGGTGTTCGTCTGCCGTCGAAGACAGGGATTGCGCCGCTCAGGCCTTCCAAAGAGCTTGTGTGTGAAATGTTTGCTGTGGTCGTTCGTTCAAGCTGTGTTCGTGCGCTTCTCAGGTCTCATAATCTGTCACAATCACCGTTCTTGTGACGGGACTGTGGTCGAGGTGTGTCGGTGGCTTGTTCTGTGTACTGATGTGAAGTAAACCAGGGAACAAAAGAACTGAACAAGGCACAGACAATCACGTGAGATAAGCGACAACAGGGTGCAGGGCAACACACACGTGCTAGCAGGCAACAAGAGGGGTGCTTGTGGTTAAGCAAGGGGGAAAACAAGAGACAAGGGCAACAGACGTAACACAGCATGCAGGCATGTGTCGTGCCGTCATCTTAGTTGATGACGGTACCGTGCCAAGGGCTCGGGATCGCCGCCGAGAGGCAAGCAGTTCCGAGGCACTGGGCACGGCGTGACACGACACAGGCAAACGCTACTATACGACACTCACGAGTTAAACATGACGTCAATCAGGCTAAACATGACATCAAACATTAGGAGAACAAAGAACATGCAAGGCAGTACGGTGCCGCGAAGGGCAAGGAAGGGAAAACAATGGG